TTTTTTCTTAAAATAATCAAATTTTAATAACTTGTCTCAATACTTATACTCTTCCTAAAATATCTCCCATTTAATATATGACATTTTTAATAATTTTAATATTTCTAATAAAAATATTTTTAAAAAATTACAAAATTAATAAAATTTAATATAAATAACTAATTTTAATATACGTAAAATATTTTTTTTTTTACTTATAATAGAATAATGTCTTTGTAATATTAATCCATTCTAGTTACATTGATAATGTAAATTACTATATATTAATTCATAATTATTTTAATTATATTATCAACTAAAGTACCGTATCTATCAATTTTATTAAAAATTAATATTTATTAAAGAATCTAATTAATTATTTTCAATGAGATTTCTCATCCCCATATTACTCATACTCTAAATTACTCATTTCGATTGATTATTATTAATAAATTTATGTATATTCTTCGTTCTTAATTCCAATGTTTGTGATGAAGATGAGAAAAAATAACGTTGGCACAATGGCAGACAAGCGTTAAAGCACTAACCAATTATCATTATTAATGGCCGACAAAATCGTTAATAGCAAATCAATGGATGACACTATTTACTCGTTTTCCAAGTAATGTAAACTAACCACCATGAATATATGGGACAAAAGGAGTAATTTGAGTAACAAAAAAATGTTAATTTAATTAATGATATTATTTATTTTAATAACTTGTACAACATTATTTTTTCAATTTATTTTTTTATTATTAAAACTAATCATTTCATTTTTTTTACTTAATTAGTATTTTAACGGGTGTCATACATATGTTAAATATTTATTAAATATAACTAAAATTTAAAATAAATCCTAAACTCTAAACCCTAAACCCTAAATATAATATTAATTTTATGAATTTGATTCTTTAAAAGAGAAAAGATTTCACTTTAAAAGATAAAATGTAATAATAACTGTTAATTAAAAAATCAATGATAGATATTATAATTAATTTTATATTTTATTATACGTATTTGAATTAATTTCATCAAGATTATCAATTATTAATTTTTTAATTACTAATTATGAATGCACTTTATCTTTTAAAATATATTATTTCACTTTAAAAGAGTTAACTTGTATTTTTATTTGTTGATAATTTATTTTTAAAATATAAAAATTTAATTTATAAATAATTATGATTAAAAAATCTAATTAGATATGAAATTGAAAGAATTTCTAAAAAAAACTTCTTATTAAAGAAAATTTTCTAAACATACTCTTGGGCAAAATTATAGTTTGCGTTTTTTATATAGAAATTGATATTTTTTACTTACTTAATTAATTAATGTGTAAGAAAATAGTAATTATGTAATTTGTCTAATTAATTTGTGACTAGCTAGTCATTTTCTTAAATACTCATAGCAAAAAAAGAGAAAAAAATCATCATATTAATTTATAATATTTGCTAAATAATAATTTTGATCTATTATTTTATTTTTAAGATTTATTTTGATTTTTTATCTTTTAAAATTTTTATTTTTATTTTTATTTTTAAATTTGGATTAATTTTATCATTTTTAAATAATGATTATTTTCAATTTTGAGAAATAATTTTAAATCTCTTTTTTATTTTTATTTTTATTATGTTTTTACTGATTTAAAAATATAAACTTATCTCATTAGATTTGTTTAAAAGAAAACTATTGACCATAACTGAAATTCAAACTAAAAAAACATCATATATAAAAAAGTCCAAACTTTTTTAATTAATTGATTTTATATAATTTTCTAATTGTTTGTGAATATATTTTTCAAGCTATTTTTATTATGTTTATATTTTTTGAATTCAAACGTCACAAGTTTTATTTATTGAACTAGTAAAAAAGTAATTTAAAATTATATTATAAAATTAAAAATGATCATTATTTAAAAAGATAAAATCAATCTAAATAAAAGAGATAAATGATCAAAATAAATTTTTAAAAAAATGATAAAAATTAACACCAAGGTCTAAATGAAAAATTTAGCTTATAATATTATTTTTATTAACTAAAAAATAAAACAAACAAGAATATTTTAATAATTAAATAATTAATACTATAAACAAATTTAAAAAGAACTTATAAAAATGGAAAACTAAGATTTATTTTGCATGCTAATCAGGTTAAGGATATTAAAAAAAAATTAAAATTATATTAAAATGTATATTATACTAAAAAAGAAAAGGCATGTATTTAAGCTAAATTAAAATCTATACTCTAGCAACTATCTTAAAAACAAAAATTTAACATTTGAGTTGGGTTCACCCGTTAAATTTATTAATTGTGTTTATCTTTATTTTTCTTTCCTTTTTATTTATTGACTTTAACTTATATTTTTTATTGATAATCTATTTACTTATTAAAATTTGTTTATGATTTTGTTGTATATTCATTTTATTGTTTTTATAGAATTATTTATTGCTATATTATAAATTCATTTTAATGTTGATAGTGAACTTATTTTATTTAGTTGATGAACATATTAAATACAAGTATCGTAGAACATTTGAATTATTTGATTAATTACTAGTTTTATATTATTTTTTAATTATATTATTCTTTTGGGTCTTTATTATAAGCCATAATTTAAAAAAGTGGTAGTTATTTTTATAATGTATTTTATAATTTTTGTTATAAAATATTAATTTTATTTTTCATTTTTTTTCTCTATTAAAGATTATGAGAATATGTACTTCTTGTTATTGGATAATACGAAAAGAATTTGAAAACAAATATTTTTTCTCTCGTCTACCCTTAAACTCTTTAATTATCACTTATTAATTTTATTAGTATTAATGTACAAGATTTGATATGAAATAATATTTTCACACTTTCCATAAAAACTTGATGATAAGAAAGATGGATAAAATTGACATATCATAATTTTATCTTATAAACCAATAAAATCAATTAATAGAACTACTTATACACTATAAGAAAATTGCCATATAGTGACACATATCATATAGTGACTCAATAAGTGTCACTAAAAACTACTTTTATCTACACAATAAATATAATATATGTTAGTATATTGTTAAAAAGTGTGGATATAAGCTATAGTGACACACAAAATATGTTGTTAAATCTCATTCAAAATCAATACTAAAATTGTGTGTAGCTATATACAAAATAAATATATACTTACATATAATATACTTATAGTGACACTTTTTGTATGTTACTATATGTAACATTTATTGTAGTGATATTAGTTTATGTGATTCAATTAAAAATATCTTATAATTAGGATGAAAGAAAATATTTGATAATAAAGTTTAAAGAAAGTTTAAGGCAAATAAAATAAAAATATTTTATAGTTCTTTTAATGTCTTGACGGATAATCCACACTAGTGGAAAATCAGTCTTTTATGTTAGCGTTTTCTCGTTATAAAAATACTCAACGTAAAAAATACGCGGTGACATTTTTGAAATTAATGTGAACTTTTTTACATTGGACCAAAGGGAGTATGATGTGAAAACTAAAATCTACGTTGGATATGAAGTACAATCCGACGTAGATTTCAATTTTTACGTCAGACCCCTTTTGGTCCGACGTAAAAAAATTATTTTTTTCTCCTAGTACCTTCGTCTTTTTCATGCGCGCAAGTGTTTTTTCATTGTTTTCTCCTCTAGGGTTTTTCTTTAGCGATTTCCGGCAACGCTGGTGCGATTTCCGTCGGGCCTTTGGGTGTTTTTCGGTCACAGTGAGCGGCAACGACAATGGCGGCGAAACCCATATTTTTGATTCTGATTTTATCTCTCCGATTGGGTTGAAGCATTTAGGCATTTTCATGGATTGAGGTTAGTGCTTTCATGCGTGTATTGATCTTTCATTCACACGAGTGTTTTGACACTGTTTTCCTCTCCAGCGATTTCTGGCGACAGCGGTGCAAGGCTTTTGGGCATTTTTTCATTCACGATGCACGATGGCAAGACCCATTCTTTATTTTGGACCTATTTCTCTGATTGAATTGAAGCATTTGAGTATTTTTTGGACATGTTCACGGATTGAAGTAATTTTTTTTTGTTTGTCAATCATTTTATATTAGACGTGGAGGATGTTCAACGTGATTTTACGTCGGTTAAAATACCCGACATAAATTTACGTTACCTGCATTAATATCAGACTTTTTTCCAAAGTAAAAAATTTAAAATAACAGACATAAAATGTCTTTTTTATACTAGTGCCATCTCACTACATCCCAATTTTCACGATAAAAGAATGAATTCAACCTAACCCAACGTACACAATTAAAGGAAAAATGGGTTGATTGAATTGAATTGACCCATTTCTTAATCTATAAAAATAAAAAAAATGGTACAAATCAAATTTACAACATCTCATACATTTTGTTTATTGTTTAACTACTCAAACTAGATCTCTTTTATGATTGAACCATTTGACATCTTTATTAAAAATACAATTTCAATTAAATTATATTTTAAGCTAGTAATTAGAAGTTCAATTATTAATTTATATGTATATAAAATACTTGTTGAGAGATGTTCACTCCTTAAATGAATTTCAATATTTCGAAAGATTATTCTTTAACTTTCTTAATTTTTTTAAAAAATAAATAAATATTTTAAATGATATTATTAAATAGAGTGAAAATAATTTATATTTGTTTATATTTAAGATCGAAACATGAGATTTTATAGAATAGATGGAATAAAAATTAATTTAATTTTTTAATATATATATATATATATATATATATTCATTTATATCCATAGATAAAATGAATTGATAGAGTAGTTAAGTAATATAAAATAAAATTTTATTTATTTAATAATAAAATTAGAGAATAACATGTAAAAAATTAGTTTTATAAAGAGTAAAAATTATTTATAGTAAATTAACGAAAAAATATATATATAAAAAAAACTTATAATCATTTAAGTTTTAAAAATAAGTTATAAATTCGTATAATAAATTTTCTTAGGAAGTTATATACTCTTAAAATAAACCAAGAAAACAAAGAAGCTAACAAATAACAAGTAATGCTCGTAAATAATTAGCACACGAAGGTGATTCACTAATTGTTGGAATTTTATGACTACCCTCCTCAAACAAACCCAGACTACACACTTGAACTCCAGCACAGAACTAGCTTTGGTAACCACATCTATCACACGTACATTAATTATTAAACCCTCACATAGTAGCACTCGTAACACCATTACAAGAACCAGACACACTAATCATAATTGGTTCACCACTAGGCTGAGTAGTTTAGTAATTAATCATATTCATATCAAGCACTAATTCCATCTTGGGGGTTAAATTTCGATGATCCCAAGTTTGCAACATGAAACTGCGATGTATACTTATTGGACGCAGCTTCAATCACTGGAGGCTCATTCAGAAATGCCCAGCTACTCTTGGTCCACCTGCATATATCCAAAATTCAACTTTTTATAAATAAATAAAGTGTAAAACAAGTGAATTAATGGCACAAATATGAAAAACATTGAAAGAGTAAAATTTTGTACCAGCCATTTTTCTTTATAAGCTGCTCCAAACTTGTGTCAATGTCCATACTTACGTGGTCCCGTGTGCGGGTCACGGGCATGGTCATTGACTTCTGAAGCTTCTTCTCTGGCTCTGTGTATTTGCTAACCTGTCCAGTGTGCATCACCATAAAAATCACAACCAAAAGAAAGGTAAGAAGAATACAAGAATTCAATAAAAATACTTTTTAACTATATCTATTTTATCAATAACTAATACCTGTATGAGAATCTGACTATACTTATAGTAGAGTCTCCTCTTTTAGTCGTAATCTTTTTCATTTATAATATTCAAACCAATACCTTGTTTAAAAGATTCTAATTTAATATTAGACCAATAACTTTAAAGTAATTATAAATTTTTTTTATTATATATGATAATTATACTTAAATTACTGTTTATTTGATACTAAACTCAATTTTCTTACGTATTGAGTTTGAGTATTGTAATTGAAAAAAGAAATATAACAATGGAAACTCAACAAAAATGAGTCAATCAAATTTTTTTGAGGGAGTAGTCATGCACCCAAAAAAAAATTACTGTTTAAAGTTTTACAGTAACTGATGCATGTATTATTTATTGAAAGAAGAAATGAAGGCATGGATGTTGAGGTTTCAGCTTAATTTAAATCTGGAACCTGAATAGTGTCTGATAAGCTGGAAATAGCTTTAAGGTGTTCTTCCTCTATCTTCTTCTTTGATTTCCAGTATGCATCAATTTCATCTTTGGTGAGTGAGCGGTTCCTTTTAAGTGTGGCTGACACATCAGAAAAAATTACTAGCTTATAACATTGGCTACATGACAAAAGGCTTTAACACAAAGCATATACATATTCATTGATATATATATATATATATACTTTACCTGATTTAGGATCCATGTGGGTAGAGTACCATCCTGCCATAAGAGAACCCATTGTGATATGCTGCTGAATTATGGCACTATGAGACTATGAGTAACCAAAATGCCTAATGGATGAATATAACCTAGTTTGTCATCTTCACAGGTTTCTTATATTTTATATAGTGTTTCCTCCTTGGTTGGGGTGGGTTTTAGGGTTTATTTTATTCTTCGGTCTTATCCCTTGTTGATTATTTTTATGCGTGATCGATGAAAAGATGGGGTGGGCCCCACTTAAAATATAATGCTGATCTATGTGATTCCTATGAATAAGTAAATGAATATTCTGGGCTTCAGTTGGTAGCCCACAGAATTACAAAACAAGGTGGCGATCTTACCGACAATTTTGCTTTTAACCTTGAATTTTTCTTTTAACTGTTATTTTTGCCTTGTCTTCAATGGGAAGAATATTCATAATCCATATGGTTTGTAGTGTTGTTACATACATTTTTAGAAAGAATTGATGATTTCAGTCGCAACTTTATATTTAAGAAAGAATGGATTGGAATGAGGAGTGTGATGGCGGTGTAAAATTGTGATGAATATGATGGCTTGTGGCCGTGTTTTTGGAGGTGGGACCCACCTGAATCAAATAATCTTATCTTGAAGAAAATATCCTCACCCACCAGTCCCCACCAAACTCTACTTTTATTTTTTAGATTTATCACTAAAGTTGCTGTCTTGCTTTTTTCGAGTACCACCCACAAACAATGTCAAAGCCTCATAGGGAAGCATAAATGGATTAAAAGGGGTTTTGCTCTAATGTGGTTAATTTATGACAAGTGTACTCTGTTTTTCTTAAATTTTATATCTTTTGAAGTGAAGATGTTCTATGTAGAAGAAAATAGTGAAGATCTCCTATATAAAAGGAGATGTAGAAGATCACAAGTTATCTAAAAACTAGTGGTACAAAGATGTGGGGAATGACCATATCTCAACAAGGAAAAATGATTTCATCCTTACCTTGTTATTTAAGTTTCCGAGGAGGAATTTTATGAGGGAATGAAAGTGTTGGAAAATTATTTTATAATTTATATTTAATTTTTTTAATTTAGTTTTCAGTTAAAAAGTTTGTAACGTTCCGTTTATTTGTAACTGTTTTATTTTATTTAACCTTTTAATAGTATTAATTGGTTATAGATTTGATTAAGTCTTATTTTTTGAGTTTGTGTTTACACGTTAGTTTGTTAATGAACCTAAGCAACTCTTGCGACAATGATGTAATTTATCTTTATTCTTTGTTATTGTTTATGTTGCCTTTTGTAAGTTATATATTCTGGTGTACGAGTGTATGTTAAATACACAATACACTATACTACTACACTATGAAGAGTATGGTTTACAAATTGAAATTATCACTTCTTCTTTGATAATTATTTCTTATTAATAATATATTTAAGAGCAATGTGTTTTTCCCTCAAATATAAAATATAATAGTTATTGATGAAATATTATATCTTATGAATGGAATGCATTACAAATTAATTGAATAGTGCAGTGGGACGTTTTTTCTCCTAATGTGTTATAACTCAAACTTTTCTAAACTTTTATTCTTATTTATTTTAGTCTTTGTTATTTAAATTCATCATTACTTTGTTGATATATTTATCATAACGTAGTTTTATTGATAAATAATATATATTATTTTTCTATTTCCATGAAAGAAAACGAGATTCTAAATCAAAATTCTTTTTTTATGAAAAATATTTATCATAAAAATACAAATTGTTATTTTAAATGTCAATTAATGATATGAATTGTTATCATTTGATTTTGTTTTAATTTGGTAGATGATAAACGTCAGATAATGGTGGTATAAAGATAATAAATTATCTTGGAGAAGCTAATAAAGTGCAACCATGTGACCATGTAGAAATGAAAGTAAAGAATGACAACCCAATAGACGTGATCAATCATATGATTAAATAGTGATGGAAACTTATGAGATTTAAATTAAATATTTTATTACTTATTTTTTCTTTAATCTTTTAATTCAAAAATTGGTTATAATTATTAGTGTCTTGACCATGTTGATTTTTTTTTTCTTTATTTCTTTTGCACAATTGGTTGTGGCTGACAAAATGTGTTGAATTATGATGATTAAAATTAAGATGAATAATGGATTACATAATTGCAGCACACGTGGCATGACCTTGAGATAGGGTCTAGTATTTCCATGATCTTAAGTTGTATAACCATATCTCGTATATATATAAAAAAAAGTAATTTTAAATTCAGAATTTTATTTATCATGGTAACTAAAAATATTTATTTTAATTTAATTATATTCTTTCTATTTCTAAAATTTGAGAGAACTTTCATAAAGATGTCATCCTTATACATATAAACATTATGTCTACATGTTTTTTTTAGTATGAAAGTTTATGTTACTTTTGGTTGATTATATGATACATCATAAAGATGTCATCCTTATACATATAAACATTATGTCTGAATGTGAATTAATATTTGATAAATCATATTGGATTTACAAGTTGATACTTTCATTGCTTTGTAACTAATGAAAGGATAATTGCTAAGGATTTTGTGGCTTAATGTTGATAGCATAAGAAAGTTGGACAATGAACTTGAAAAGCATATACGCAAAACATCTATAAAATTTTTGTGGGAAAATAAGAGAATGTTGAATAAATCATTTCATATTATTTTTTAATCCTCTTATATCTCACTTTGTTTTTCTCATATGATTTTGATATTTAAATAAGTATGTTTAAGTGTAGACATCTTCATTGCAATTTAGGTGTGTTCCTGTCAAAGCCATGACTAATATTGATACTATGTGGTGACAAAGTTGTCTAATGGAGAGTGAATTATTTATTAGAAGAAATTTTGTGAATCCACTTATAAAAAAAAATTGTGAAAACGCATACTAAATTGTTGAGGGTAATATGACTAAAGTCCATTAGTTAGTTATAGCATCGACCTTGACTTTGTGAATGGAAATCCCAAGAACGGAGTTCAACGGGTGAATATGAAGTTGTTTGTTAGCTAAAGTACACAAAAAATTATTTATATATGGAGTTGTTTCAATTCCTATTCCTATGGAGATGTATTTTTTTAAATTGCGACAATTACAAGGTTGAGGTATATATAAAAAAATTTGTTTAGTAAAAATAAATTAAAATACTTCTTAATGAACCTTATAATAGTAGTTATGGGGATGAAGGTCACAACTTACCCTTTAAAAGATTCACCTAATGAGTGTGGTAGCGGGGTTGCCACTGTGAAACACAGGCAAGATGTTAAGTGACACTCACAAAACAAGATATACTTGCACAAGGTCATAATGTGCACCACTAATTTAAACTCAATGAATACTTATATTATTTTGTTATGTTTCAAAGTCTGATTAAATGGAATATGACTTAATACAATCAAGTTTATGTATTTTCCTCAAGTAGAAGATCATATATACTAGGTATAGGATTCAAACCCTAAAATTTTCTTGTAGTGAAAAAATAATATGTCATGCTCCATTAAAAATGTTTTAAGATATTTTTTTTCTCCATATTTTAATATTCCGTTCTTTCTTTATTAAATATTTAAATTAGTGGGAATTGTTGGAAAATTATTTCATAACTTAAATTTAAATGTTTTTTAATTTAGTTTTTAGTTAAAAAGTTTGTAATGTTCTAGTTATTAGTAATAATTTCATTTTATTTAACCTTTTAATATTATTAATTAGTTACTAAGTTGACTAAGTCGTAATTATTCTGTGTTTGTTTTTACACGTTAGTTTGTTAGCGCCCCTCAGCTACTGTTGTGGCAATAATGTAATTCATTTTTGTTATCATTTATGTTGTCTTTTGTTTGTTATATATACCCGTGATGAGTATGTGTTAAATACATAACACATTACACTATGACGAGTACAATTTATATCTTAAAATTATCTCATCCTCTTTGAGAATTATTTTTTATTACTAATATATTTTGGAGTAGTCTTCTTTAGTTTGAAGATCCTTTGTTGCGTACGATTGATCCAATAAGTTGTTGTATTTTATTAGAGCAGCACGTTACAAATTAATTTACTAATGTAGTTAGATGTTTTTTCTCTACGTGTCTGACGTGCTTCATCCCAAACTTTTTCATACTTCTATTCTTATTTATTTTAGTTTTTATTATTTTAATTTATCATGTATTGAATATTTGTCTTGATGTAATTTTAATAATAAATAACATTTATTATTTTTCTATTTCCATGTTCTAATAGAAAGGAACCTTAATTAGTGTTTCATTTGCTAGGAAAGTAAGTAGGTTTCCTGGCCATTCAAATATTATGACAATATATTTTTACAATTTTTTTGTTCGTTCTTGGAGTATCCATCGCTGATAGCAGTAACTAATCTTCTCGCTACGTTGGAGGCACCTCAAAGGGTGGGATAACTGGCCCCAAGATTTAACGCGACTGCATACACAAGGCAGGATTCAAACCCCTGACCTTGCTTAAATATTTTTACATAAATTAGAATGCTTTCCGAAAAATACAAGAGAAAAATGACTTTATATTAAAATAACATTTTTTTCTTTCTATTTTTTTACTCAACCAAACAAGTAGAATGAAAATTTATTTATTTTACAACTCCTTTTGTAAAAATAAATATAACATCAATCAATGCCTTACTAAGGGGGAGTGATCGAAACACACTGTTCTATTTTCCTTCCATTTACAGTTAATTGTCATCATCAAAAAGGGGGAGAATGTGGAAGAAATTATGCACAAAAGTTTTGATGATGCCAAAGTGATTTTAAAGAATTGAAGAAGAATTAAGGTTGAGATAAAGAAAGTTGATGAAAGAACAAGATATAAAGCGTTACATAGATAAGTATTGTAAAATTAGACAAAAATGTAAAAGAATCTTTTAGAATTTTGCAAGTATGTTTGGCCTTAAGAATAAGTTTTCAAAAACCTCAATTTAATATCTTTAAATTGAAGCAAGTTTTGAATCTTTTGAAAGTAAGTAAAAATATTTTCAAAAGACTTAACAAAAGTTTTAAAGAATAGTTCAAATCATTTCTTAAAAGAGATTTGTGAAAGAAATTATTGATATGAATTTTTCTACATAAAAAGTTTTTGAAACAGTAAAAATATGTTCTGGTAATCGATTACCAGACCTTGTAATCGATTAACAGGAAATGAAACTTCAAAATTTGAATATTAAGAT